GTTCCCAGGTTCATTCACACTTTGTCATGATATATACTGGATTTTATATGTTGACGGATTCTTGTTAAGGGCTTGTTCATGAGGGGATATTTATTTGTAGTTTTCTTGTAATGTCTTCATCTAGCATTTGTGTTATGACTATACTGACCTCATAGAATGTGGAAGTATTCTTCCCTGTTCTACTTCTAGAAGCCATTTGTGTTGCATTGATTTCTTCTTGCTAAATGTTTGGGAGAACTTACCATTGAAGGCATTGTGGCTTGGGTTCTTTTTTGTGGGGAGATTTTAAATTGCCAATTAAATTTTTAGAAAATTTGTATTGGTCTATTAAGAATTTTCTATTTCTTCTTGAGTCATTTCTGATAATTGTGTCTTTGTAGGAAGTTGTCCTTTCATCAAAGTGCTCTAATTTATTGTTATAAATTTGTTATCTTTTATAACAATTTTGAGTGTGATCTATAGTGATGTCCTTCTTTCATTCTTAATTATGGCAATTTGTGTCTCTTCTTTGTTTTATTATTCTAGTTAAAGCTTTATTTTATTGTTCTTTCCAAAGAAATAGCACTTGTTTTTATTGAGTTTCTGTATTATGTGTCTGTTTTTGCCTCTTTGATTTCTCCTTTGATATTTATCATTTGTTTCCTTTTGTCTACTTTTGGTTTGATCAACTTTGTCTTTCCTTTATGAGACTGAAGCTTAGTTGACTGAGTTTTCAATATTTTTATATTTCTAAAGTAAACATTTATAGGGTATACATTTCTTTCTTAGCATTTATTTAAGTACATCCCATCAATTTTGGAATACTGTGTTTTCATTTTCTTTTTTCAGTATGTAGTCAACCCTTCTATCTGCAGGTTCTACATCTGCAGATTCAATCAACCACTGATCAAAACTATTTGGGAAAAAAGCCCCAAAATAACAATACATTGATAAAGGTAATACAAATAAACAAATATAGTATAGCAACTATTTACATAGCATTTACTTTGTGATAGATATCATAAGTTATCTTGAGATGGTTTAAAGTATATGGGAGGGTTTTCATAGGTTATATGAAAATAGTACACCAATTTTCATAAAAAAATTGAATATCCTCAGATTTTGGTATCCTAGGAAGATGTTCTGGAGCCAGTACCCCTTTGATACTGAGATAAAACTATATTTAGTAATATTTCTTATGATTCATTTTTGATTCATGACTTATTTCGACATGTGTTATTTAGTTTACAAATTTTGTAAATTATTTAGTATCACAAATTTATTTTTGTTGATCTCTAATGAAATATTTTGTGGTTGAAAAATATATTTTAGATGATTTCAGTCCTTTTGCACTTACTGAGGTTTACTTTATGTCTTTGGATATAGACTTTCCTAGAGAATGTTCTTTGAGCACTTGTAAAATATGTGTATTCTGCTCTTGTTGGATGGAGTGTTCTCTAAATGTCAGCTTTGTAAAGTTAATTGTTAGTGTTATATAGTCTTTTGTATACTTAGTGATTTTCTATATAATTCTATCAATTCTTAGGAGAGGATAATTGAAAACTCCATCTATACTACTTGAACTATATATTATTTCACTGTTGACCATTTTGGCTTCATGTATTTTGGTTCTTTGCTATAGGGTGCATATAATTTATAATTGTTATACTTACTGAAGCTCCTTTTTTACTTTTAAAAAATATTTCTTGTATTAAAGTTCATTTTTTTTCTGTTATAAGCATAGCCATAGTTACTACTTATATTGTATATCTTTTGTTTTTTACTTTTATCCTGTTTGCATTTTTGATGTCAAACGCATCTCTTTTAGGATGTATATAGTTGGGTTTTGTTTTGTATCTGGTTTGCTAATTTCTGCCTTTTTATTGAAATATATTGTATATTTTATTTGATGTGATTATTGATATGATAGGATTTATATTTATGATTTTGATACCTGTTTTCTATATATATCAAGAAAATTAGTTATTATTTAAAATTAGTTCATTTTAATTTTATTTTATTATAGAGATGTGGGGTGCATGTGAGGATTAACTACATAAGTAGGCTGCATGCAGGCTTCTAAATGGCCCTCACTTCCCCTGGTATAGGACCAGGTGCCCTTTGTGTTGTGTGCCTCCCCTCTCCCTCCCTCCCTCCCCAACAGTGCTCAGCAACTGTAGATCCCTCCCTTGTGCTAATGTGATTAATGTTCCGTATATATCTCAAGTGTTATTTGTTCTCTCTTACTGCCTTTTAAAAAAAATGAAACCAGTCCTTTTTGGTGTATTGTTTTAATTTTATGTTGATTTTTAAAAACTATTTTATTTTAGTTATTTGCTTAATAGTTGCCTCTAGGATTACAGTATTCATCTTGGATTATTACAGTGTACTTCAGGTTAAAACTAAATTGATTTTGGTAAAATAGAGCAGCTTTGTTCCAGTATAACTCTATGTCTTCTTCCCCTTGTGTTACTGTTTTCATGTCTTACATGTGTAGATGTATATATTATCATAAACTGAACAATACAGTGTTACAATTTTTTGTTACACAGTTTTACATTTTAAAAGAACTAGGAAAATTACAGAGAAAATGTTTTTATACATTTATGTTTACCTACATATTTATAATTTCTGGTACACTTTATTTATTTCTGTGGATGTGCTATCTTCTGTAATTTCTTTTTAGCCAGGTGGACTTCCTCTAAAAACTTGTGAGGAGTTTATAAAGCTCCTACAAACTCTATAAGGGAGTTGGTTTTTTTTAATTTTTTTTTTTTTTTTTCAATGAATGACCTTGGTGTTTTCTTATCTGGGCATGTATTTATTTTGATTTTGTTTAGATGGTAGTTTTGCTGGAGAGAGAGTTCTTGGTTTTTCTTACAGTATTTTGAATCTTTTGACTTCTGTTGTTTCTGAGGAAAATTCAGCCATTATAATCATATTGTTTTTCTTCTTTATATGGCAAGGTTTTTTTCTTTCTGCTTTAAAGATTTTTCTCTTTGTCTTTGACCAGTTTGATTTTGATTTGTCTAGGGTTTCTTTCATGTTTATCTTTCTCTGTACAGTAATGTTTTTCATAAAATCTGCTAAATGTTTAGCTATTATTTATTGAGATATTTGTCATTTATCTTCAGCTCTTCTGGGTGTGAGTTTCTCAGACTTTCCATGGTTTGATTACCTTGAAGTTTTGAGAAGTAATGGTCAAGTATTTTATAGAATGTTCCTCAATAAGGATTTATTTGCCATTTTTTCATGGTTAGATTGGGGTTATGATTTTTTGGGAGAAAGATCACAGAAGTGAAGTACCATTCTTCACATATAGTATCAAAGGTTCATGCTGTGAACTTGATTTAATCACTGATACTAACTTGGATTACCCAGCAAGGTAATGTTTGCTAGGTTTCTCCACTATATTATTACTTTTAAAATTATCCTTCATTATTCTCTTTGGAAGTAAGCCCCCAAGCCTAGTCTAAACTTAAGTACCTACATACCTTACTTGCAATTCTTCTGTACAAGACATTTGTTTATTCCTGTCCATTTATTTATTAAATTCTTTTTTTATATCAACAGGATCTCATTTTTTTTTCTTCTTGTTGTTATAATTCTATCCTATGGCATTTTGTTGCTCATTTTGTTTTAGCTTTGGACATTAGGAACTCTTTCACTTGGCTCCTTTGTTAACTTTGACTTACTTCATTATTAATATTATTATTATTATTTGAGTACTTCCTTACTTTTGGACATTACAAGGTACTCCAGACTCATCTTGTGTTTTCACTATTCCAGCCGTAGTAGCAACTATTTCTTTAAAGAGTTCTGATTTTTTTTATTGTAAAGTTTTTTTAAAAATTGTTTCTATTTCTCTATTTCAGATTCCCTGTTTGTTGAATCATTGTTATTATATTTTTATTTTCTAATTGTTTTGGCTTCCCCTCCTCTTCCCTTTCCCTTTCCTTTCCCCTCTCTTCCCTTTTCTTTTTCCTTTCCTTACATTTCCTCTTTCCTTTCCTTTCTTTTCTCTTCTTTTTTCCCTCTCCTCTCCCATTCCCTCCCCTTCCCTTCTCCTCCCCTCCCCCTCCCCCCCTCCCCCCTTCCTTCTCCTCTCTCCTCTGCCCTCTCCTTTCCCTTTTTTTCCCCCCACTTTGTGCACAGGGCTTGCTGAATAATTAGACACACTCTCAGGTGATCTATGGGGAACTGGACATTTATTTGGAAGTCTACCCAGATGTCCTTCTGTTTCCCTTTTCTCTTTGTCCGCCCCAAGAGAGGAATTTTCCATAGAGGTCATGCTGAAAGTGGTATGCAAACCTGGCTACCAGTGACATATGAGCTGGACAGTAGAAGGGTACTGTTTGTCTCACCTTTTCAATATGTGGGTTTTTACTTAAATATCCTGTTTTCAGTATATTATCTCACTTTCAATTTGCCTACTGTCCTTAATGTAGGCTGTTTAGCCTTCACGAGGGAGTAATCTCTTCACCTTCTGTCAGAGTGGGGAGGAGATTTGTAGTCTTGCTATTCTTTTAAGGTCTTACTAGTCTACTTGGTTTTATCCCCAACATTTATCCTTTCCTTCTTAAATAGTTTCTTCAGTTTCTGGAATTTTGCTGGTAGAATTACCTTACTTATTAATTTTCCCCTAAAAGCTTAGATTTTGGCTTTCTCAGGATTGCTTTTCTGAAATATTGATGTCCACAGTTTGTGATTATTTCCTTTCCCATTCTATTTGTCTTTGTGAATTTATGTCCTTTCTATTTCTTTCTTGTGGTTTAGTGGGATTTTGGAAGGTAACAGAGATAAATTAATTTTTTTTTAATGTATGTGATAGAAACAGGATCTCACTGTGTTGCCCAGGCTGGTCTCAAATTCCTGGTCTCAAGTGATCCTCCTGCCTTGGCCTCCCAAAGTGCTGAGATTACAGGCATGAGCCACCATGCTCAGCATCTAATTAATTTTAAACCTTATGAGATTTGTTGCTTCAAGCAGTTGAGTTTATCAATTTTACTACCTTCTTTCAGAGACAGGGAAGAACGATTGGCAGCACTCACAGCTGCTCAACAAGAAGCTATGGAAGAGCTACAGAAAAAAATTCAGCTCAAGGTAGGAATATTATTTATTTTTTATTTGAAATTTTGGGGCATTAGATTCTCATAGGAGTGAAAACCGTATTGTGAAATGCACATGTGAGGGATCTAGATTACATGCTCCTTATGAGAATGTATGTCTAATGTTCTGAGGTAGAGTGAGGCAATGATGCTAGCACTGGGGAGAGGCTGCAAATACAGCTTAACATTAGCAGTGAAGTTTGACTGTACAACCATGCCCTGCAGTCTGTGGAAAAATTGTCTTCCACAAAACCAGTCTCTGATGCCAAAATGGTTGGGGACCACTATTTTAGTAAACTAAAGATTCATTTGTTTCAACTAAAAAACCTAAATGAAATGGAGGACTTTCTGACATCACACAACCTCCCAAGGTTGAAACAAGAAACAAGATGAAATTGAAATCCCAAATAGACCAATAAAAACCTAGGAAATTGACTATGTAGTAAGAAATCTACCCACAAAAAAAAAGCCCTGGACCAGACAACTTCCCAGCAGAATTCTATAAAATATACAAGGAGAAGCTAGTGCCAATCCTATCAAAAGTATTCTGGACAATTGAGAAAGATGGAATTCTCCCAAAATCACTTTATGAAGCTAAAATCACACTGATACACAAACCTGGCAAAGACCCAGCAAGGAAAGATAACTTGATGAACAATCTCCTTGATGAACATTGATTCAAAAATTCTTAACAAGATTCTAGCAAATCGGAGTCAAAACACATCTAAAAAATCTTCTACCATGACTAAGAAGGCTTCATTCCAGGATACAGGGCTGGTTCAACGTCTGTAATACTATCATAATTGTAATTCAATATGTCAACAGATGTAAAAACAAGAACCACATTATCATATCATTAGATGCAGAAAAAATGTTCAACAAAATCCAACATCTCTTCTTAATAAAAGCCCTTGAGTACCTAGGCACAGAAGGAATATTCCTCAAAATAGTGAGAGCCATCTATGAAAAACCCATAGCCAACATATTGCTCAATAAACAGCAGTTGGAAGCATTTCCCCTGAAAATGGGAACAAGACAAGGGTGTGCACTCTGGCCCCTCCTGTTCAACATAGTATTGGAAGTCCTAGCTAGACCAATTAGGCAAGTGAAGGAAATCAGGTGTAAGTTAAGTTACCCCTCTTTGTAGATGATATGATCCTATACCTTGAAAAACCAAGAGAATCTATCAAAAACCTCCTTGCACTGATAAGTGACTTTGGCAAAGTCTCAGGGTACAAAATAAATGTGCAAAAGACAGTTACATTTTTATACAATAACAACAAAACAGGCAGAGAACCAAATAAAAAGCACAATCCATTCACAATAGCCACACAAAAAATCAAATACCTTAGCATCTTCCTAACCAGAGAAGTGAAAGATCTTTACAAAGAAAACTACATTACACTGTTCACAGAAATCAAAGATGACACAAAAAAATGGAAAAATATTCCATGCTCGTGGATTGGAAGAATCAGTATTGTTAAGATTTTCATCCTACCCAAGGCACTCTACAGATCCAACCCATTAAATTACCAACATCATTCTTCTCAGACCTGGAAATGACAGTACAGAAATTCATATGGAAACAAAAATGTCCATGAATAGCCAAAACAATTCTCAGCAAGAGAAACTAAGTGGAAGAAGTCACACTCCTGGACTTTAAATTTTACTATAAGGCTAAATAATCAAAACAACCTGGTATTGGTACAAGAATAGACATACAGACCAATGGAACAGGAGAGAGATTCTGGGAGCCAAACCTCAGTTTTTCAAACAACTCATCTTTGACAAAGCCATCAACAAAAACCCCTGGGGAGAGGGGGTCCTATTCAGTAAATGGTTCTGGGGAGACTGGCTGACCACATGTGGAAGAATGAAACAGGACCCCAGATCTATAACCATACACAAAAATCAACTGTAAATGAATCAAAGATCTAAATGTAAAACCTCTAACTATAAGAATCTTAGAAAATGTAAGAGGCAGCATTATGCACATTGGAATAGGCAACCAATTCTGGATCATAACCCCAGAAGTATATGCCATAAGAGATAAGATAGACAAGTGGGACTTCATCAAACTGAAAACATTTGCAAAGCAAAAGAAACCATTAAGAGAGTAGGGAGAGAGTCCACAGAATGGGAAAAAATATTTGTTAACTGTATATCTGACAAAGGCCTAACCTCCAGTATCTACAAGGAACTTAAGCCAAAAGGAAGAAAACAAACAGCCCTATTAAAAAAGTGGGAAAGTAGAGCTTGGCGGAATCAGCGGGGAAAGAAGACCCTGTTGAGCTTGACTCTAGTCTGGCACAGTGAAGAGACATGAGAGGTGTAGAATAAGTGGGAGGCCCCCGGCGCACGGGGGCGGGGCGGGGTCCGCCGGCCTCGTGGGCCACTGGTGAAATACCACTACTCTGATTGTTTTTTCACTGACCCGGTGTTTAAAAAAAAAAAAAAAGAAAAGAAAAGAAAAAAAAAAGTGGGAAAGTGCAAAAGACAGTTGCTTTCTTATATACTAACAAGCAGACAAAGAACCAAATAAAAAGCACAGTCCCATTCACAATAGCCACAAAAAATTGAAACACTTCAACATCTTCCTAACCAGAGAAGTGAAAGACCTTTACAATGCAAACTGTAAAACACTGCTCAGAGAAATCCAAGAAGACACAAACAAATGGAAAAATATTCCATGCTCAAGCATGGAAGGAATCAACATTGTTAAGATGTCCATCCTACCAAGGCAATCTACAGATTTAATGCAACACCTATTAAATTACCAACATCATTCTTCTCAGACCTTGAAATGACTATACAGAAATTCATATGGAAACATAAAGACCACGAATAGCCCAAACAATCCTTAGCAAAAGAAACAAAGCAGGAGGTATCACACTTCCAGACTTCAAACTTTGCTATAAGGCTACAATAATCAAAACAGTCTGGTCTTGGTACAAGAATAGGCACATAGACCAATGGAACAGGATAGAGATTCCAGAAGCAAAGCTTCAATTTCTCAACCAACTCATCTTTGACAAAACCTCCAACAACAACCACTGGGGAGAGGAGAACCTATTTAGTAAATGGTGCTTGGAAAACTGGCTGATCACATGCAGAAGATTGAAACAGGACCCCTACCTATCATCGTACACAAAAATTATAATAACTCTAAATTGATCAAAGGTCTAAATGTAAAACCTCAAACTATAAGAATCTTAGAAAACGCAGAAGCCACCCTTATGGAAATTAGAACTGGCAGTCAATTCCTATTCAGAACCCTAAATGCCCATACCTTAAGAAATAAGATAGACAAGTGACCTCATCAAACTAACGATCTTCTGCGAAGCCAAAGAAACCATCAAGAGAGCAGGGAGATAACCCACAGAATGGGAAAAAATATATTTCTAACTGTATATCTGACAAAGACCTAACATATAGGATCTACAGAGAACTCAATCGTGCCGAAAGGAAAAAAAACAGCCCCATTACAAATGGGCAAAAGACATGAATAGACACTTCTCAAAAGAGGATATATGGGCAGCCAACAGACACATGAAAAAGTGCTCAGTCTCACTCATCATCAGAGAAATGCAATCAAAACTACATTGAGATATCACCTAACCCCAGTAAGAATGTTCATCATTAATGCAACAAACAACAACAGACTCTGGCAAGGATTTGGAGAAAAAGGAACGCTTCTACACTGCTGGTGGGAATGCAAACTAGTACAACCTCTTTGGAAGACAGTGTGGCGATTTCTGAAAGAACTAGAAATTGACCTTCCATGTGACCCAGCAATTCCCCTATTGAGAATATACCCAGAGGAAACTCAAATCATTCTACAGAAAAGATACCTGCATGAATATTTTTTGCAGCTCTATTCACAATAGGAAAAACATGGAACCAACCATGCTGCCCATTGAAGCTGAACTGGATTTAAAAAATGTGGTACATACACATGATGGAATATTATGCAGCCATAAAGAAGGACAAACATACGGACTTCGCAGCAACTTGCATGAATTTAAAGTCGATCATACTCAGTGTTTTATCACAGAAACAATGAACAGAGTACTATATTGTCTCATTCATAAGCGGACCTTGCACAATTATCATAATACTATAAGAAAGGGATTGGTAGTAGTGGGAAACTACCAGGGTAGGAGGGGTAGGATTGGCAGTTGTGGGAAACTGCTAGGGGAGGGAGGGCCATACCTCATCAACAAGGGTACCTATATAATGAACTTTTGTATACCTAACCCTGAATTGTACCCCACATGTTTAAAATTTTTTTTAAAAAGTGGGCAAAAGACATGAATAGACACTTCTCAAAAGAAGGCATATGAACAGCCAACAGATACATGAAAAAATGCTCAGCCTTACTAATCATCAGATAAGTGTAAATCAAAACCACACTGAGAATACCACCTAACTACAGTAAGGACATCCTTATTAAATCAACAATTGATACTGGTGAGGATGTGGAGAAAAGGGAATGCTTCTACACTGTTTGTGGGAATGTAAACTAGTACAACCTCTTTGGAAAACAGTGTGGCGATTTAAAAAATATCTAGAAATTACCTTCCATACGACCTGACTATCCCTCTTCTGGGAATATACCCAGAGGTACTCAAATCAGTCTACAAAAAAGATACCTGCATATACATGTTTATTGCAGCACTACTCACAGTAGCAAAAACATGGAACCAACCATGCTGCCCATCAAAAGTGTACTGGATAAAGAAAATGTGGTACATATACATGATATGGAATATTACACAGCCATAAAGAAAAACAAAATTATGGACTTCACAGCAACTTGGATGTATTTAGAGTCTGTCATACTCAGTGATCTATCATAGAAACAAAGTACTAAATACCACACGTTCTCACTCATAAGTGGGTCCTGAACATTAATCAGTACTGCAAGAGAGGGTCGGCAGTAGCAGTATACTCCTAGTGAGGGGGATGGGTGTACATAATATCACTAAGTGTGCCTGATCCTAATCCAGGGGAATTGAGGATCATTGGGAGGCCCAAACTTCACCTGCACATAGATCACTTATGTACCTAATCCTGATTTGTACCCCACATCTTTAAAATAAAATAAAGATTAAAAAAAGAGATTCATTTGTTTCACTTGCATAATTGTAGGTTGGGTGATTATGATAAATTGATATTTTCTAGAACATTGTTACCTTTACTATAACATGTAGGCTGTCTCCAGCAGTATAAATGTTTCACATTGTATTGCGGTTATTTATATGCTTCTTCCTCCTTACAGGAATAGTAAACTCCTTTAATGTAGAAGACCATATTTTACTATTCACGGCCCAAGGAATTTATCTTTCACTTAATGTAGCAAATATTTATTGAGCTTTGTAGTAGGAAGAGAAATGAAGAGATGAATAAGACATGATTGTAGTTTTCTGGAAACTCCTAGTCTAGTGTGAGATTTAGATGCTAAGCAGATGATTTCCATATAGATAGAGGTATACATGGAATGTTATGGAAGCACACTTAGTCTGACTTGAGGGGTACAAGCGGCCAGGGAAGTAATTTTAAATAACAGTTTCTAAACTGGATCTTGTAAGAGGAGTGACTAAATGGGAAAGAAAATGGGCAGATGAATAGAATGCCATTCCAGCCATATAAATTAGTATGAGCACCAGGAGAGAGGTCTGAAATAGGTTTTCTTTTTCTCTGGGATTGTCACTGTAGTGTAGAAATGGAGTTGAAGGTAGAGATGTGTTGTGATGGTCCTTGTTTGCTATGTGGAAAATCATAAGTTTAAACTGTGGGTTAATATTTCCCACAGTGTATTCCAGGAAATGCTTCTCAGAGTGTGTTGTTGTGGGCAAAATAATTTGTAAAGTACTGCTTACTATAAACTGGGTTTATTGAGTCGTAGAGCACAGTGACATACTAGAGGCTCTGTAAAGTTCTATGTTAAAAACCTCCTTAGCATTAACTTACTGTTTTCCAAATTTATTTGACCATGGAATCTCTTCCAAAGAACACCTATTATCTTATGGAGCACACTTGTGTCAGGGGGAGATATTAAAGGGTTTTATGTAAACACTTGTCTTCAGTGTGTAAGCTAACAGTGAAATAAGACATTCTCTTGTTATTTCAGAAGTTTTAATGGAAATATTATTTTTCCAAGTTCTTATTATAGTTTGAATAATTTTGTACTTTGACTTTGTCTGCAGCATGATGAAAGTATCCGAAGGCACATGGAACAGATTGAACAAAGAAAAGAAAAAGCCGCTGAATTAAGCAGTGGGCGACATGCAAATACTGATTATGCCCCCAAACTGACCCCTTATGAAAGAAAAAAACAGTGTTCTCTCTGCAATGTCCTGGTAGGTTATCATTATTAATATTGTGATTATATATTATAATTTATTTTTGAAATTTATGGAACCATGAAAATATAGTCTTTCAGTCTTTGAAAACTCATGCTCAGGCATTTGCTGAGTAACATGTTTTTTTTAATAATTTTAAGTGAAAAAATAAGTAGTACAGATAAAACCAGTATTTAATGTGGTTGTTACTAAAATGCATGCTTACCAGCTTGGTGATAACCCAAGTCATTATTTTTGAGTATTGGAACTAAAAAAGCAAGCAGTATTTTCAGTACTGAGATTCGAACCTTCAAACTTAGAAGAAATGATTTCCTACTAGACTGGCTATGATGTCTAGCATGCCTTTTTGACCTTGTGTCTTCTCTTCCAGAAAATGCTTGAATTGTGATCTAAGGAAAATATTTTTAAGACTAATATGTAAATGCTAGAGTGATCTCAGTTTGCACATAGTGTACTGGATTGCATGTGTACTGTTTTTTAGATATAATATTATGGTGATTATATTGCTTTTATTTTATGCTTTTAGATCTCTTCAGAGGTGTATCTTTTTAGCCACATTAAGGGGAAGAAACACCAGCAAGCTGTGAGGGAGAATAGCAGTATCCAAGGGCGGGAACTTTCAGATGAAGAAGTGGTAAACTTTACTTTTGTACATTTACAGTTATTTATTGACTACTTAGCATGTCCTCTTTTATTATAAAGACTTCCATGTTTATATGCAGCTCTATAATTATTTAAAACTATATTTAGCATTTAATAACAACAGACATCATTTTGGCATACATATTAATTTCATGAGAAATATAGAAGCAAGAATTTAATGCTATTATTTATATAATCTCTGTGCAGGAGAAGTTTATGATATATTGATATTTTAATAATGAAAGAAAATAATTACTCATTGATGCACCAGATTTCTTAAAAACCAGTTAACAATATCAGTTTTATATAAGAGGATAATTCTGGATCAGGAAGCCATTTAGAAATTTTTGAAATGCATTATTTAATTAACCTATAGTTATTGTTTACCTGGAAGTTAGATTTGTATAAATATATCATTTATAAATCTTTTCCATTTAACTGTTACTGAGACTTGACTGACATAACTAGATAATCTGTGAATTTGTTCATCCTATTTATAATAGAACATTTCTAAAGCTACACAAGAATGGGAAATTCATATTTGGCAAGCATCTCTTAAGATGTCCAGGAAACAGGGTTCTTGGAGGGCAGTACTTGTGTGTAGGTGTGTGTGTATGTTTAACCTTTTTTTTTTTCTTTTTGAGGTATGCCACACATTATTAAACTACATAAATCTCAATCAGATGAATTTCTACATATGTATACACTGATGTAAAAACACCCAGATCATAATATGGGTCATTTTTTGCACCCCAAAGGCTCCCCTTATTATAACCCCTCCCAGTCATATTCCCAAAAGGTAACTACTCCCTGACTTTTCATACTATCACTTAATCGTGCCTGTTCTTGAACTTCACATAAATGGTATCATATAGTATGTACTTCTTTGTATCTGACTTATTTCATTCATGCTTAAGTCTGTAAGATTGATCTTTGTTGTTTATGTGAAGTTGTATCTAGTAATTTTTCTTAGCTTTTTTAAAGGCCCTCCAGATAAAGGCCTTAGGAACACATCTGTAGTTGAATAAAATTGAATTTACTGACTTGTTAAAAGCAGGGAAAACACATACCATGTTGTGGAGCTTTTCAATAAGAAGATATTTGAAAGGACTTGTGGAATTTGGCTTGTTTTAAGTGACTTTTGGGGAAGATTCAAGGAATAGAAGTTTTGCTCTAGATTGGATGCCACCAGGAAACAAGGGTAATTCTGTGGTTAATGTTTTCTAGGCAGAAGGAATGAAGCTGCTGTTTTCACCTGGGTTTCTGAATATAACCAATGTTTGAAGGGAAATTGTATACTGTTATTTGGACTCCATTCTCTTGTAACTTCTTCCTTTGAAGAATTTTGCCTCACAAGTTCTAACTGCTTTGATAACTCTAAACTGCATGTTCTGTGTCCTCAGAGCACTAAGTCTGCCACTTTCAGCTTGCACTATTCTCCCAATCCAAAAATTGGCATCAAATCTTAAGGAAGAATCCAGAATAAAATTGGAACTCACTTCACGTGCTTTCCTTCTTTGAGGGATCGTAGTCTTTCAAGCCTTAGCTATATTCGACTGTTCTTTAATACATACCTTAAAATAGTTGCTTTGTGTATTTTGTACAACTTTTGTTGTACAAGTCCAGTACAAGCCAATTCACTGTAGCTAATAGTGAAAGTCTCCATTGTTTGAGTCTTGTATATTCATGTTTGACATAATGCTTGACACATAGTTAAGGTTGTTAATAAATGCCCATTGTGTTGAGTTGAAGTGAACTGAAAGATTGTACAGAATGACTTGAAGGTATCATTGGAATGGGCCTCTACATATCTTCTTTGTAAATGCTAGGTACTTTTAATCCAAGTGAAATGGAACATGAAACACATGATCTATTAGTTAACCTCACATAATTTCTTACCTTTTACTCAAATTATATGAATATTTGAAAAGACAGTGACATAGAATTTTTTTTTTTTTTAAATCAGTATTTTTTATGATGATGTTGTGGGGTACAGTTAAGGGTTGGGTATACAAATATGCTTTATTTAGGCCCCCTTGTTGATAACAGGTGTCTCTCTGTCCCCAGACAGATGTTTACTACCATTAGTCCCCCCCCCCCCCCCCCCCCCCCCCCC